AGGAATATCGGATAACACCCATATAAGTGTACCACCCTATAAGATGACACATGATACTCCCCTGTAGGCCTTATATTATTAAGTGTCAAGTCCCCTACGTTAGTTTTCTGTTGCGGTGCATCTTGCTAGGGAGCGTTCAAGGGGTCTAAGGAGAGGGGGTTGTTGCTACTTGTAGCTGCTAGCTTTTAGTAGGGAACGAATCATTGTATGCAGTGTAGTAGTATTCCCTTCAACAGACCCGCGACTGCGATCCGACGCTTAGTGAATCCCTACGGAGAGGCAGTGCAATCCGAAGCTTGCAGCCACCTGCCTAAACCCGAACCCCTAGCACGAAATCCACAAAGATTATGCATTTGTTTTGCATGTTATCGGGCACGTGTAAGTATTTGTGGACTGCTTGCCCTGCCCCGATTTCCCAGGAATGGATGGTGTCTCATGCGTGGAGCACCAATTTCGCAGCCACCACCTCGATGCTTTCATCGAATCTTCGCGGAACTGTTGTTTCAGCATGTCGGGTTTAAGGGCGTGCAGCTTAGAGCAAGTGGCTCGGGGCTTGGGGAGTATGTCCACACCTTCGCACAAGCGTGCAGACATATAGTATTTTGGTTCCTTAGTAATTAATTATACTAGCACAACATACCCCAAAGCCCTGTTTCTAATCATAAAGGCCCTTCTATTATACGGCTTTTCAGCAAGACCCTGTCCCCGAATCGGAAGAGCCAACATAGGATAAATATCGAAACTGCGAGCACGCCGAGAATGTAATGTTCTCGAGCCGAAGTATACAAGTATTGCCTGCTTTGGAATCCTAGTCGCACCAGCTACTGTGAAACCGTAAACCCCCAAACCCGAAGCCCCTAAGCCGAAAATCCTGAACCCTAGAGAGTGCCTATCTTGGGCTATTCGGAGTCGGGGACATTGCCATCCCAGGCATGCGCGATCCCGCAATAAACCTGACGATGGCTCAGACCGGCAACAGGTGGACCACCTAATATAGAAGCCTAAATACTTACCTATATTATTCCTCAGGGCGCCTTGTCATACTCATACTATAGAAGAGCCCCAAAACCTATTCTAATTATTCAGGCCCCCACATTCCCTGGACTCTGCTAGTTCGCTCTGGTGTGTCTTGCAAAAGTCTTGGCAGATCGAAATGGAAGTTCATTGGAGGGAACAGATGAAGCCTTGACTTCGAAGTAGGTTTGGATCAGATTTGCCAGGGAGATTGCTAGAGATCCTAAAATATGCCAACCTGCACGGCCGTAGTTTCGATTTCTTGGAGTAGGGTACGGCCAACCTGGAAGATGAGAAAGATCATATCAAGACACGGCGTAAAGGGAACCCGTAGAATAGATATCCAAGGTTCCCAGACCTTCCAAAATCTCTGAATTAAGGAATATACGGTTTAGGGTTTCGGGTTTAGGGTATATACCTTAAGATATAGTAGGGCCCCGGGTGGTCTGGGTGGCGGACAAGGTTCTAACGTTTCCCGGCTGAGGCCTAATATCGGGGCCTCAATATTCAGGAGAGGGAGGACGCCTCAGGAATACTATTGTTAATATAGGGGCTACCTATACGGGCTCCTTATTATAAGTATAGTATAATAAACCCCAGAACCCTATTCTAATTAGTAAGGCCCCTACATTAGTTCTTCAGGCCCTTATGGTAGGTTTCGGACAAGCGCTGGGGCTTTCGGAGTGAGCGGCACTCGGTCTTCTGATGTTCTCGCAGCTTCGCATGATAGAGACGCCTGGAGATTTAGCAAGAATACGGTAGGGTTTAGGGTTTATGGATTACTGCTGCATTTGTTAAGGGGCGCATGGTGGTAATCGTCGTACAATATACCCCGCCCCACTCTATTCTAGTTATTGCGGCCCCCATATTGCTTCGGTGACATGGGCTTCATTTGCCTCAGCAAGCCCGATGCAGCATGAGCGAGAAAGCGTTATGGCCTGAATCCGAGAAAGCATTATTGCCGGAATCATCAGCAAAGGTATCCGTAAGGTGATCAAATAACTATTTATGTAGTATTAATATAGCCCACCTGATCACCACCCCCCCGCCCTTGCCCCAGGGCCCTTTGGGGTTTACGGACTCTCATTAAGGATTGTCTTGCAAAGGCTCAAGGTGTAGTTGCCAGGACTCTTTGTTTCCGAGAGGCCTGGATGCAAACGTCCTACTGGTGCTGTACACTGGCAAACAACCAGCATGACCTGTCTGCTCTGCGTGACGCTTGTGCCTTTTACGATTTTCAAGGGCTCTGGATGCTAGCTCCGAAGCACTTCTCAAGCCCTAACCCCCACCCCCCGCCAGCTTAAACCCCGAAGCCCCTAAACCCTCAACCTCTTCGAAGCTTTAGTCGCACACCCTGCGCAGAAGGGATCCTAATTGGGGTTTGTGGTGCTTATAACTCGGCAAAAGAAGTACTGATCAAGCCCCCCCACAGCTCCAAGACGACTCCCCAAGCCTGAACCCATAATGTAGGGGCCTAAATACATTCCTATCCTATCTTGTGGGCTCCTTATTTTATGATTTAGGGTTTGGGGGCTTTAACAATTAGAATAGGTCTTGGGGTATATTATACTATAAATCGAATAGGGAATCCCCCCCCCCAAAACCCTATTCTGATCATTAAGGCCCCTACATCAGACCCACATCAGCCGACCTTCCGAGTCAAAGAGCCTACATTTTGGACCTTCTCGAAAGCTAGGAAGACGATTTGGAGAGCCGAAACACTATATACTTAGGAGCCCAATAGGTAAACTTTAAGCTTTTTTGGTATATTAAACCCCTACTAAAAGAAAAGTTTAAGCTTTTTTGGGCCAGGGTACTGGGCAGCTAAGTAGATGATACTGGCGTAGCTAGTTTCATAGGGTTTGGGGAGTTTGCAGGCCGACGGATGTAGCTGCTAGCTGTTCAGTTCTAGTAGGATCGAACCCCAGGTGCTATAAACCCCACACTGTGCAGGTCAGGGTTTAGGGGGTCTAGGTTTAGGGTTTGGCGGTTTGGGATTTAGGGTCTAGGGTTTAGGTTTGTACTTTGTTCAGAGCTTGGGCATCTCTCGACGCCAGAATTTCCCATCATGTAGCCGTGCCAGAAAATCACTGCAAAGCCGATACCAGTTCGAAGCCTTGCACCCCTAAACCTTTCATAGCTAGACCCGGAACTGAACCCCAAAGCCATTTTCTAGGACATTTTCACGTGGGTAGTTACCGTTATAGGAGCCTTATAGAAGGTCTATATACCTTATAGCAGTATATACCCTAAACTCCCCACCTGTAGTTTCCTTTAACATTTTGGGCTTTGAGTTGGCAGGATAGCACTTTAAAAAGTTCCTTTAAGTGTGACTACAGTGTGACTACAAAGGGTCTTCATTCATAATTTTGGAGCCTGAATACTTGCCAAAACTATTTTGGGGGGGTCCCTTATATGATAACTATATTGCAAAGGAGCCCAAAGCCCTATTCTAATTATTAAGGCCCCCTACATTAATCAGTTTCTGCTGATACTGACCAAAAACGTAGGTCTGAGGTTCAGTCCCCCTAATGCCGAAAGCCTTCCAGATTTTTGAAAAGGGCGGCACAACTTTGGGTTAGGGTTTTATAGTAAACCCCCAAAAAGTTGAGCGGATTAAGGACACTTGGTGCATGGATTCCCTATACATTACTCTTAAGGATTGAGGCTATTGGGTTCCCAACCTTTGGGCTTGTACTGTAGGGGTAAGTAGAGCCTCTGCTCTTTGGGGGAGGGTGTTACCCTTCGTGATCATATGCCCCAGGGCAATGGCAAGGCGATAGAGATTAGAAATCGTCTCCTCTTTCATGGGCATAAGGGTAATATAGGGTTTACCCGCGAATCATGCTTAAGGCTTGGGGCATTGAAGGCCCGAACAGAGGGATTCCATACAATCCTCGCACATCTCGTCAGCGTGAAATTCCAAGCCCCTGTACGTCGTCGCAGAGAGCCCAATACTACCCAATACAACCCTAAATCCTAAACCCCTTGATTAAGGAATTTAAAGTGTATTCCTCAATTAAGGGGTATTGGGGTCTCGGGGCCTGTTGGTCGCCCTGCTCTGGTGCTCATACCAGCTGTCCGTGATAAGGGAAGGGCTTGGGGACGTAGGTACGATCTAGGAATCGGAGCTACCTGGGCTCTAAGAGACGGTTTTACATGTACAACTCCTTAAACTGTAGGTTTTTCAGGGTTAAGGCCAAATATCTGTCATATCGTTAGCGCCCCTATCCCACGGATTTTTCTTACTGTATGCTTTGCGGTTGCGTGCGCTCTTCGTAGGTTTTTCATTAAGACGAAGGCCTAGAAGCCCAAAGCCATGACGTCTCAACCTTCGGCCGTAAACCGTACCTAAACCCACCAGAACCTGCTTTTTTTTGTAGGGTCCCTATAAATCCCCTGTTCGGATTTATAATGAGAACCTACCAAAAAGTGGGTTTTTGGTAGGTTAAGGTACATGCTAAACTCCATAGAACCTGTAGGCTTGCGAAGACTGTGCAGCTAAGGAAGCAGACTTGATGAAGACACCATTTGCCCGCGTGCTGCTGTGCCTCGCCTGGCTCTGGTCAAAAGCCCTGAGGGACCATCGGGAAGACACTCGTGGCAGCTGAATGAGTATACTTTTATTAGCACGATGATCTTTAGAACTCAAAGCTTGAAATTCGGGTGGCGTATGAACTCGGCAACTAAGCACTTCCTTAGGTGGCGCCGACAGTTATGGAAGAGAGAGCCTGGCAGGGAACTTTCCAGCGCAAGTACGTTGAACAGCACAAGCATCCCGAACCGTAGTACCCCGAGAGCCGACTTCCCGAACCCCCTTCATTGAGGAATATGCCTGAAACTAGAAGGACCTTAATATTATGGTGTAAGGTGTATTCCTCAATTGGGGGGTATTGGGCTCTCTGGGTAGCCACAGGTCTGCGCGTCCTTTTGCCCGAACCCGTCATGCTCCAAATCGTGCGAGAGCAACCAAAGCCAAACATCGCCCACAAAGACCCGACACACCATGTGGGTTTTTCTGAAAATAAGGTACCCTAATATAGTACCCTAAATAGTAGGACCCTTATTATAAGGACCCCCAAATAAGGTACCCCTAATTTTCGGAAACTCCCATGTTGAAAAGCTCGGATGAGTTTTCTAAAGCCTCAGTTAAACACCTGTAGTGCCCCTCTACAGAGTGGATCTATCCTGAACACCCAGCCCGGCACTTCAACCCTCAACCAGCGTTTAATGTAGGGGCCTTAATAATAACCAATACTGTCTTGGGGGCTCCTTATTATAGTTGTAGTAGAATATACCCCCCAGGCCCTATTCTAATTATTTTAAGCCCCTAGATCCTAAACCCTTATAGTAGCCCTTATCGAACCCTTTAAGGAACCCTTTAAAAAGGCCCCCCAAAACCCTACTCTAATTGTTAAGGCCCCTATGTTCTCCTGAGCCCTCAGCCCACCAGGGCAATCAACCAGCGGTTATGGGTCTAGGGTTTAGGGTCTAGGGTTTAGGGTTTAGGGTTTAGGGTTTAGGGTTTAGGGTCTAGGGTTTAGGGTCTAGGGTTTAGGGCTTAGGGTTTGGGTCCCATCTTCTTCGTTCCCCAATACTCAACCTTTAAACTTTCTGGGTTCCTATAACTTTGTAGCAATCTTCAAGTTTAACCTTTTCTTTCCTTGGCTTATTGGGGAAGTACCCAGAAAGCCCAATACCCTTTATTTAAGGAATATACCTGAAATTATAGCGGCCTTAGTATTTTGATTTACGGTCTATTCCTTAATTAAGGAGTATTGGGCTCTTTGGGTAAGTCTTTGGGTTTGGTGTTCACCGACGTTGGTTTCTGCACTAGCACTGGGTGCGGCTGTGAGAAACGATCTTGGCTCTTGGAGATTCGCTTTCATGTTTGGTTTTTCCATCGAAGTTAATGGTTTAGGGTTTAGGGTTTAGGGTCTTAATAATTGAAATAGGGTTTCGGGGTATGTTGCACTATAATTCTAATCAAGAACCACCAGAATGTATTGGTCATTGTGTTGGTAACAGGCGAATGAATAGCCATTGCCACCCCTAAGGGCCCGAAGTCGTGGTTGCTTAGAGTTTGGTTTGGCTGTAGGTGTGGAATGTTGAAAGAGTCTGGGGAGGGTTTAGAGTTTAGGGTTTAGGTTTTTGGGTTGGAGGGGTCGGATTGGAAATAGGACGCATAGAGGCGCAGAGCTCAGAGCATAGAGGCATGATATTGCTTTACGGATCTGCTCAAAACAAGTGACATCCTTGTGTGGACTCTTAAAGAGCTGGTCATCAGACAACACAAAAAAGCTATGATATGAGCTTGAAATAGCCGGAATATTCAATACGAGGATGCAGCAAGACGACCAATATTTTGAGGATGCCTCAAACAGGCAGATCTCTGTCCTACCAGACGCCTGGAAAATATCATGCGGAGCCCTGCTTGCTACGACTATCCTCGGAAGCGCAATGTCGATTTCGGTGGATGTGCATCTGCTGAGTGGAAAGACAGAAACTCTGGAAGTGGGCGCGGATGATTCTGTTGAGTCTCTCAGAAGACGCGCCCAGAGTGTTCTAAAAGCTGGCAACGGCAGGCTGTTGAACTCTTCTGGGGAGGTACTCGATGGAGCATCAACTGTAAAGGAAGCAAGGCTGCAGAACGGTAACGTGCTGACCCTGCATATGAAGCAAGTCGTAGTTGTAGCCACGAAAGGAGGGGATGCCTCCGCATTTGCCGCAATCCTGGGTGATGGATCTGTGGTCGCTTGGGGCAGTTCCCTTTATGGTGGCGACAGCAGTGCGGCACAGGATCAGCTGCGAGATGTGCAGCAGATCCAAGCTTCTGATCTTGCATTTGCTGCAATACTGGGCGATGGATCCGTGGTCACCTGGGGTGATGCCGACTGTGGTGGCGACAGCAGTGCGGTACAGGATCAGCTGCGAGATGTGAGGCAGATCCAAGCTTCTTCGAAGGCATTTGCTGCAATTCTGGGTGATGGATCTGTGGTCACCTGGGGTAATGCC